CTCCCTGGGTCCAACAAGCATGGCAGCCATTACAGTGTTTCCAGGCTTCTGTTTCTTCATTCCATTGGATAAAATGGACTTTCCCACTCCAGACACGTGTCTCAATTTTGGGGAGCTGATTTTTTTTGGGGGGTGGGGGGAGTGTGTGTGGGATGGGTATGGTAGTAAATGCAGTAATATGCTGGCAGCAAGTTCTCTGGAATACCCCATCAATTTGGATCTTGGTTCAATCAGATGCTGGTGTAACCTAGTTATTGAGAACTGAATGGTGTCCTTGCACTCGGTGAATAGCTGGTTGGTGTCTATCTTGTTTGAATTGTGGGTGTGGTTATTGTATGAGTGTGGCAGTTGCGTTCACTTTTGTGTTTCTCTAGGAGAGGGTAGGAGTGTTCTGTGAATGATGGATTTCTGCAGCATTCAGTTCAAACAGTCAGTGCTACCAGGACGGTGTGTTCTGTTTTACCTTGAATAACTTTCCTGGAAATGGGAAACGAGTCATAAAATTGTATATTGCAAGGTTGGCTGCTTCAAAATAGTTTAAGTGCTGGCTAGGTTGTATGTGTTCAGGTGGCTAATAGGCATTCCTCTTCAAACAAAACTTTGGCTTTGAGATAGTGGTTCTGTGCGAGTTTCATACATGTCCATCCTACCTGCTGATAGAGCAGCCTTGAGGTGATGGTGGTTGTTTTTCGGCAGTTATTCCTGGCATGAGTGGGCCAGTTCTGAGAAGTTCTCTGATTTACACACTTTTCAGTTGTGAGACTGTTATCAATCATTGTGTATCAAGGGCTGAACACTTGCTGTTGCTTTCTTCCTTCTGTAGATACCCATCTCGCACTTCACCATCCTGATCTCCCTTTTGGCTATAAGAATGTAGCTGCTCCAGATATTTTTTGGATTTGGGTCAAACAGTATAGATGCTCTTTTGTCTTGCAACTTGCTTTTTTGGCCTGCTATACTTGAAGTAATATTGTAATAGTACCTATTCAGTTGTTAAGTTAGATGTAGATCTATATATAGAGATCTATATCTGATTAATTTTTTTTACCTTTTTTGCCTCTGTCTTAGAAGACCTATATCAGTGGTGGCTGAGACTGAGGTTGGTGTTAGTTCTGCAAGTAAGGTGTCCGTTGCTTTAAGTAGGGGACAACAGATCACACCTGGCATGAAGTACTCTACATCTAGTTATTGTGCTACTTGTTGCATTTGACCATAGTTGAAGACTGAATAATGCAAATGTGCTGAATTGTACCTTTTAATTGTCTGAATAAGGTTCACCAGGTACTGGGGCCTAGTTGCTTCAGAATTGCACCTTGATTTAATATGTAAATTGGATGCTGGTTTCAATGATTTAGTAGAAATATTAAATCAGTTGCATGTACTAAGGATATTTAATAGTGGCACGCTGGTTTAATGTGACCCTTGTGATAAAGGTTTTATTTGCTGTGGAACTGTCATTTTGAGAATACAAAATAAAGGCCTAATCGTTCTTGTAGTATTTGCAGTACAGTTGAAATCAAGGCATACTCCTTGGAATTTAAGGGGGTTGTGTGATATGCTTCAGTGTGGGAATGCAAAGTTTTGAAAGCAGCACTGTAGTTGACCTAATAACTTTCTGTTCAAAGGTAAGGACTAAATTTCTTCACAACCATATTATCTGCAATAGACTTCTCTGTGGAACTTCTCATTCTTGGTTGTCTTCTGGAGGTGGTAGTCATAGGAGGAATACTCCTGTAGACAGGACTGCAGATGGCTATTCTGGCAAATATCTATAAATGCTCCCAAGTTTAAATATAATTAAAGTATGAGTGGCTGTTTTTTTAAACTAACACTTCCACTCTTACTATTAAGAGGCATAACAGCAGGAAACTTGAAGGGAAAACATTTTTCTTTGGCCTGTATTTGAAAAGTCTTAATAGAAATTAATCTGAAAAGTGGACTTCCATGGTGAAATGCAGATTTCAAGTGGGAGGAACGGTATAGGAGCAAGCAGGAGAAGGAGAAATTGGAGGGGAAGCTGGAGAGATCCAAGTAACAGTGAGGCAGGAGGATACGGTTTTGAAACTTTGACCACGCTTGGATTGCATGTGGCAAGATCAGTAGGATCAAGTAGGAGGATTGAGGGATGCTGGCAATACTCAAGCTGCCTAAAAGACCTTTTTTTCAGAGCAACAGCCTGGATAAATCACACAAATAAGTGAGAAGGAAAGTGGCTAGAGCACAACCTTTAAGAAAGGAGCCAGGTCAAGATGTTTGGATTTTATCAGATGAGCACAATTGGCTGTTTAAACAGATTGTTTTGCTAATGTATGGATTGTATTATATGTTTCTTTCAGCCCTTTTTGCTGATAAATTTTTCATAGATGCTAGGGTCAGAGGGGACCTCAACAGATCATCAAGTCCGAACCCCTGTCTAGGCAGGAAAGAGGGATCAGATGACCCCAGCTGGATGCCTATCCAGCCTTCTCTTAAAAACCCCAAAAGTAGGGGAGAACACCACCTCCCTTGGAAGCCCATTTCAAATTTTGGCCACCTTCACCATGAAGAAGTTCTTCCTGATGTCTAACCTGAATCTGCTCTGTCAGTTTGTAACCATTGTTCCTTGTTACCCATTTACTGAAAACAGCTTCCTTATTTCTCTATGCAAATATAAAAGTAATTGGGGCCAACTGAGTTCAGTTTGTGAGTTTTAAACAAAATGGCTGGAGGTGAAAAGGACTCATCACTTAAGGTCCCAAGGAATGATACTTTCTCAAAAGCTCACATGGATGTCTTCTGGCTTCTCTTGTTTCATAACTGCCTCTGCCTAAATTTGTGTGTGTGTGTGTGTGTGTGTGTGTCTGTGTGTGAGAGTAATTTTCCAGAATGAAATTTTATCACTTACCGTATTTATTTATATATCACACGCACTTCTCCCCAACCCCCCAAAATCAGTCCTTCAAAATGGGTTGTATATCTTAAGTGGGGAAACTGATTTTTTCCTTGCTGGAATGGAAGTATGCAGATACTATTCTAATGCCTGCCAAGGTGACTGCTGCTTTCTGGCCCAGCAACCAGAAGGGGTGGAGTCCTGTTAACCTTCTCACAGCCATATCTATTGTTTGAGCACTGTAGCTTGTGTGTAGTGGAATAATTGAGGTGAGTCAGGGCAAGTGAGACTTGCTGCTTGTGGTCTGTAGTACCTTGATGAGACTTGTGGTGTGGAGGCAATATTTTGTTTATAGTAACTTATAAAAGGAATTATTTACAGTAAAGAAGTAATATTCTTGCTACACTAGGAAGTTTCTGCTGCCTCACCCAGATTGGCATCCCAGGAGAGACACTTCCAGGACACTTTCCAGGAGGACTTAGTCTGTCAGACCGGCATCTTTGACTTTGGAAATCTTGTTTTCTACATTCTGCCTTCCAAAAAACAAAGCTCATGTATTATTTGCCAGTGTGTGGTATGTGATAAAATAGGGTATTCGTGAAAGCTTAATACACATAGTATACCTGTGACAGCTAGTTTGAATTGTAATGGTCACTGGGTTGCGTTTTCCTTGACGCCACTTGCCTATATCTGTTATTTTGAGCCAGCTACCTATTTCTTGTTTTTACTCTTGGCTTTTCTTGCTGTAGAAAGTTTTTTTTCCTGTTCTGGGCCATGGAAAAGTCTGAATGTTCCTGTGGACTTATCCAGGCTCTGCCAGCGAACATGCTTGTGGTCTTGAGCCAGATTCCTTCGCCTTTCTAGTCAGCACACATGCCTGTATACTTAAGATTCTTATGTCTTCTCAAGAGATGTTCTGGTTAGTTGATACTGCTGAACAGCAAGTGCTAGTGGTGATGTTCTTTGGCAGAGAATTAACGTAAGTCCTGATTAGCTTGTGTTTCATATGCTTCCATAAGGTTGGGAGTTTTCCAAGAACATGCTATTAAGTGAACTAGTAAAATGCTGTGTGGTTTGGGAGTCTTGCCGTCTGCAGTACTCCAGGCGAAGAGTTCTGTTAATAAATGACCATGTCTGAAATATGGGTATAAGTTTTTATATCGATAATTAATCTGCCTCACTAGTAGAAAGCTATGGAGATTGGGCTAGCATTGGGGACTTCAAGGAAGGGTATTCTCACAAGCTGGGTCATAGAGACTGCAAGCATGATGTTTCACTATTGTTTTATTAATCATTGTTCAGGCAGTCTATAAATGTACTTAGTTCAACTTTTGACTAAACCCCCCCTTATTTTAACGTAGCTTGAAAGAAATGATTATACATACCATTAAATTACAAAAAAAAAAAAAAAGAAAAGAAAAGATAATCTCGTTCAGTATTCAACAGGGTATAACTTTTATCATCTGCTAAGTTGTATGGATTTTGAATTCTTCCTTCTGGTTAATGCATTGTTGGGTAGGAAAATATACCACCTTTTATTAGATAGCTGCCAAACTGAGGGAACTTGTTTATCAACGGTATGCCTGTTTTAAAATGTCAATGTATAACCCACCCCATTTCAAAATTGGTGTTTTAGATCAGCCAGTTCTCCATTCATGATTTTTGCCTGTGTTGTATAGCTTAGTTGGCTTTGTGTATTTTGGTGCTGGAAGTGTTAGTTTCAACATTGGCTTGTTTGGCCATGGCATCTGACCACGTGCAGTGTGAAATAGTACATTATACTTTAATGCAGGGATAGGTACCCTATGCCATGTGAAGGTTCAATCCAGATGCAGGGTGACATAGAGGATCCCACAGCAAGCAGCTGTGTTGTGCTGCACGCCCCGTTCCACAGCCCTCCCTGATACTCTTTTGTGCCTGTGTTTTAACCTTGCTGGCAGCTTGGGTGCTCCAAGAGCTGGAGACTTGCAGCCAGTGGCAGGGAGCTGGGTGGTGAGTGCATGTCCATAGCAAAAGGCTGTCAACCCCTGCTTTTAGCACAACAGAGCACATCATTTACTTTGATTGTAAATGGAGGAGATCATGTCCTAGCTTCCGGGGAGTCATGGTCTGCTTCTGTTCTTGGTTCTAGGATCCTTGCAGTTATGGCTGGCTGGCTGCTCTTTTACTCTGAAGTCCCAGCATTCGTTAATGCTGTAATTTCACGGGACTGAAAACAAAAAAAGGTAAGTTTAGAATCTGTTTTGAGGGGACGTTGTAAAATAAATAAATAAATTGCTATATTGCCAGAATTTAATGTGCAACTTCATTTCCCTTGGTGACAAAAAATAAAAATAAAAATTGTAGGTTACCTTTAACTCCACTTCCTATCTCTCCAGGTATCTTTTAGCCTTACCTGTGCTTTAGGATGTGAAATTTCCGCCAAGAATATACAAGAACAGTTAAAGAAAAAAGCTGTATGGCTCTTGTTTCCCATCCTCTTTTCTCTTCTAATCCTTTATTCTCTCACAGGAGGGGATGAGAAAGGAAGGCTGTTTTTTTCTTTGTACTTATTTTTCTGATTCAGCTTATGCTGGGAGGAAATAATGCTGTGCAGTTTTCCTAGTTGGGTATGAATGGTTTTGAAGCACTTCCCTGGCTAGTGCGGATAATGTCTAGAAGATTAGTTACACAGGTAATGTTGCAGCAGAACAGACTTTTTTTTTTTTTTTTAGCTGCATGGGCCTCACGTCAGCAACACGGTGAAGAAGCAACAGCAGAGACAACAAAAAGGCAAGAAGAACAAAGAACCAAAATTGAGGCATGATGTAGTCCAGGAGTGGCCAACCTGTAGCATCAGTCTCAAGTGGCATGTGGCAGGCAGGGGAGGGGACAGGGAGCAGAAAGCAGAGCACCGGATTGGGCAGGAAGTAGAAATCGGGGACTAGAAAGCCAAGAAGCAGATCAAGGTGGCACTTAGAGGGCATGGGGCTAATTTGTGGTGTGCCCGCCAAAAGATTGGCCCCCACTGGTATAGTCTGTATGTACAGAGAGAGAGAGACTTTAACCCAAAGGATTTTTGAAGCAGTTATTTCTTGTAATGCGCTGTGTTAAACCTGATCTGTGCCAGCAAGGGGAAAATAAGGTACATGTAAAATCTTTCTGCATCTGGACTAGTGTTTGGAAATAAGTTGCTTCAATGAAATTAGATTTTATCCTAGGTTAAAATACCTCTTGCTTCAGGATAGAGGTTTTTGAAGAAGTATCAAGGCATTTGAGGGGATTTAATATGGAAGTAGTGAGTCTGATAAATCCTCTGTTTAATGATGGCTCTTTTGTGGAAAGCTACCTTCTGCTTAGCTGTGCAACTTGCGGAGCCTACATCATTATGTACCTAATAGAAACATAAAACGTGTGTCCTCATGAGCACAGGACATTATTAACTTGCAGCAAGTAGCCCTGGCTTATATTGAGCAACATGCAAGTGTCAGATAGCAGCAGCAGCAGCAGCAGCAGCAGCAGTGTTCCTGAAGCTGTTTGCTTACAAAATTGGCCTTACTGGGTTTTTAATTAAAGCCCTTATTGGCTGTATCTTGGCTATTTAATACAAGCAGTGCTTATGTGACCTACCATCTAGTGATCTGCTGCACAAGATCTGCAGGAATCTCTGTATGGGTGGGTGATAGGGACTAGAGCTCTCCTTTATAGAGAATGCTGTAACACTTTTTCCCAGAATAAACCCTGGCCTTGTGCCTTGTTTTCTTTTTCTCCTCTTGCTCTTCTTCTAGGAGAGCCTTTTGTTCGTGTGCTTAAGCCAGGAGTTCCACGGCAGTCCTTCCTCACTATGCTACATGTGCCTCCAGCTCTTCTACAGTGCACCCTAGGACAGGGCTTGGGAACCTTCTAAAGGTTGTGGGTGAGACCGACTCAGTTCAGGTCAGAAGCAGGCTGGCAGCTAGGTGGGTGCTAGGACCCAGCTGCCACTGCCACTTTTTCCCACCTGCTGCTGCTGTCACTTCTCTGTGTCCACTGGGGGAAAAGCAGCCCTGCTGAAACCACATCTCCTTGGGCTGGATCAAAACGCTCTGCAGGCTGGACCTAGCCTATAGGCTGTAGGTTGCTGACCACTACTGTAGGAGGATCCCTGAAGGGTGCATTAATTGAGTTTAACACGCAGTGGAGAACTGGAAAATGTGAGACTTTTATTGGCATAGTTGTGGAGACTTTATTGACTGTTTCGGTAGTTAATGTAGTGTAGGTTCCTTGCACAACTGTTGAGGGGAACCTGTTGGAACCAAAGCATTGTGTTGATGTTTTTTTTCCAAAGATCTTTAAAGGGTATCTTTGCTTACATTGTTAGTGTACTAGTCCATATTGTAAATGGCCCTGTTAAAGCATGTAGTAGCTCAAAAAGAGGAGAGGAAGGAGGTGTAATGTGAATGGATACCTTTTATATGCATTTAAAAAAAAAACCAAAACAATTCTGGAAGCCTGATGAGTGACAAAGTGCTGAAGCTCTTTGCAGAGCTCTGGTATCTATTTGTGGAAAGGTACATCATGTGAAGTGCAATTCTAGTATTTAACATAAAACTGCTAAGGATGTGCTCAGGAATCCTGTAAGCATGTCGTATTGGGCTTCAGCACTGCCAGGCTGAGCTGGGCCAGCTGGGGTGAAAAATACCTGCAGCTCCATATCTACACAATTTAGAACATAATAGTTGTATGTTACTGGCAGTGCTAAAATCAACAGCTTAATCTCTCAAAATATAATGTGCGCTTTTCATATCATCCTTCACTGCTTGTCTTAGCTTTACTGTTTTTTTCTCTGTGCATTTCATTTCTTGTACTAATTGCTAATTTGCTCTCTCCCTTCTTTCCCCTCCTTTCCCTTCCTATTTTACAAGTTGGCAGTTGTATCTTTCTCCCTCTTAGTCACCTCATATCTTTTACTTGTCTATTTCTGTTGTAGACAAAACAGTCAGTCCTATCTCTTCATATTTCTTTGATTTCACTATCTCTTTCAGTAAAGAGGAGAGATCTGACTATTTTCAGGAAAGAATTAGTAGGTCTCTGATCCCTTCCTAATCAGCCTCTCAACCCTTTTCCCTGTTACAAATGCACATTGGGCCTTCAAATTATTACTGGAGACTTTTTCAGGATGGAAATATCAACTTCCATTTCATTCGCAGTATTACAAAAAAACTGTCTGCAGTCCTTCTGAAGAGTTTCTCTTGGTATACAGAGTGCTGCTGGATTTTTCTCAAGTATTTCACAGATACCTTCTGGGTGATATCCGAAATGGAGTGGTGTCCTAAAAGAAAGTAGAAGTGGCCAACCAACATGCAGTCTAATTGATGATAGAGCCTGATTTTTGACATAAACAAGGGAAGAAGTGGATGATATGAACTCACTTGAGTTTACAGCTGGAAGGCTGTAAAGATAATAGAATCCACAGGAGCTCTTTAAAAGGGAAGACTCCAAAGGGGAAAGGGTATAATCAATGCATTCGGGTCTAACATAAATCCCAAAGTGAAGGACTGTACTTGAGGTGATATTCTCTAGTGATATCTTCCCTGAGTCAAGGCTCTATGCTTGAATCCTACAAGCATTTCCTCCCTTGCATCCATTACCAGGTTCCAGGAGAGGTAATTTTAAAACTGATGATGGTTAAGTAGGAAAATATATCTGCAGGTTAGAAACCTGTGCCCAGAGGGTTGTGGTAACAGATGGCAGTTGAAGAGTAAATGCAAAGGGAAATTTTGTTCCAAGGATCAAAAGCGGACACAGTGCCAACTGTTTGGAACCCCCTCTCAGAGCTGGACCCAAGCTGCCATCCGGCAGACTTTCCTTAATAACAGAGCAGTTGAACTTCAAAGTAGGTTGTCTGAGCATAAATACAGAGGTGACAGGAGGTTGCATCCTGTGCTGTTTGGACAGAGAATAGTGTGATTTAGCTCAAATTCATCTTCAGTAAGAAAAGCATGATAAGGCAATTGCTACAGTTGCTCACTCCAAAGACAGTCAAATACCTGTTGTGTAAACCTTCTATCTGGCATATCTGCATCCTGAAGGGAAACAAAATCCAGATGGACATCATAGTGCAGTTCTCCAGTATACAGATAGGTCAGTAATGCATATTTGCTGTAGGTAAATTTCTATAACTTGATAGGTGGAAGGTCAGGATGATAGTTCTCTAGATTGAGAAATTGGCACTTTGATCTCTGGTGCTAAAATAGGTAGCAGAACGTGCTAAAGGGAAGCCAAATGTCACTCCTGGGGACCTGTGCTGAGAGCAAGTAATGCGAAGGTAATTGGCTGTGAATTCACAGCCAATAAGATGTCTGGGAGCATGCAGGAGATGTCCATTCTGGGATGCAATGGATTGCAGTCTGGAAGACTACCTAAATGCAAATCTAGAAATCCTGTATGAAAGCGTAGTGTCTGATATTACCAAATGCCAGACTAACACCAGGTATGATGCTTGCAAACTGCAAGAAGAATCCATAGCATAGACCCACTGCTGCCAGGCAAATACCCCCTCAAACTCTTTATTTAGCAGGTTTTTATGAAGAGTTGGCTTTTGTTTTATGGAGACTGCCTCTATTTTTGTAATATTTTGTAAATTTTGTGGCTATGAGTTTGTAGAAAAGTCACCCCCGCCCCACTTTCTCCATTATCAATGATCCTGCTGCTCCCTGTTGAGTTCTTTTCTTTTTAGCCCAGGTCCCTTTCTGTACAGTGCTCCTATGTTCTTAAGCCTCTTCTGTAACTATGCAACCCTTTTTTTTTTTCATTGTTTCCTCTAGGGTTGACTGTCCAAATTAATTTTAAGAGCTCTTGTTCACCTTCATACAAGTCTAGTGAAGATCAGGTTTCCCTCCATTTCCAACTAAAAAGGGAATGGCAAAAGCAAGAGCAAATGCAGTGCATGTGTTGGAAAAGTACAAAAACAATGCAAAAACAAAGTGGTGGGCAAATGGTATCTGAAAAACTGACCAGGAACAAAGCAATCTTTGTGGATTTTTCAGAACAGACTGCTTATGAAATCTCTCCAGAAAAGGGTGGAAAGATGAAACTGGATATGCAAATTGCTGGATAAAGCTAACTTTCATAGGCTTTGTTTATATCCCAGTTTAAATTTTTTTTTGTAGTACTAAGGTTTTTAGTTTTAATATACTATAATAAAAGCCTAACTTGGATAGTAAATGAAGATGGTACTAGGGAGGAGTTTTAGGCTGCAGCCCGA